TGGGCGCCGAGCGCCAGATAGGATATCAACATTGGTTCTTCATTGATGATGATGATGAGACCTTACCAGCATTGTCAATTATGAGCTCTTGGTGTCTTCTTATTTGGTGAAACTCGTGATGCAATTCTGCTGTTGGTTCGAGGTCGCGACTATCTGGTCTTGTGTATATGATGCTGTTTGATTGCTGAAGTTCGCTATTGCTCATCTTCCGTGCAATTTGGTATCGGAGCTGTGGTACGATTGCGCTCATCTGGCGCTTGTCTTCTGCCTTATGCGGTACATACATGCGGTCTGCTTGGTGAGTTGGGCCGTAAGTGGTGTGTAGTGAGTAGGGCGAAGGCGAGTGAGTGGCGACCCAGGAGGTGAGGGGATCACCAGGAAGGTTACGTGGTGTAATGTGGGTCTGGACCGTGTGATGAGAACTATCTAATGTGCGATTGGTGCTGAGGTGGAACGGCGTGTAATGCTGTTTGTGCCGAAGCAATGACTGGTCATCACAATCGGCATCAGGTCATCTGGTGAGATTATCTTTGTGGTTGGGGGCACCTATTTGAGGTACGTTGCTCTTAACCTTATCTACCCTCTTCGACATTTCTTACCGTGAGGTTGTGTGTTCCTTCTTGAGAGTCCTCTCATTGTGAGGTGTCGAGTGCGCTCAACCTTGAGAGTCGGCAATGTTCACGTGGAGCATCTAGGAGAGATAAAGGCGGAGAAGGAAAGGATGATTAGGAGAAGAGCCAGGATGCAGCGGAGACAAGCGGACGTTATTGAGTTAGAGGAGATGGACCTGACGCACGTGACTAATGATGTGAGGACCATACGGTCTGTCCTGTTAAATGTAGTTGAGATGCAGGACCATCAGACAACCATCCTTTAGGACATTCAACAAAGTCTGGCCCTGTTGGCTGGGCGAGCGCAGGCAGCGCCATCAATGTCCGGGCCTGGTGCCAGGCCCGTTGTACAGCCTCCTCCTTTTGTCCCACCGGTGACTGAGGTATCCCCATATGTAGTCCCATCATCGGTCGCAATCGTTTCCCCGGGCATGCCGCTATCAAGAGGGGTATCAACAGGATCTAGTTTGCAGGTTCCTGTACAGACAGTGTTTACCCAATCTCCATTGCAGGTTGCGGTTACCACGCAGCCGGCTGTCTCGCAGCCTGTACAACCGCATGGTACACAGCCCCAGCAGCTAGCACAGCAGGCTGTGTCACATGGTCCACAGCCCGGAGTGGTGCAGGGACCGGGACAAACCCAATGGGTACCAAAGACGGCCATCGCCGCTCCTAAACCCTTCACAGGGGATAAGAGGGGCGAAGACCTCAACACTTGGTCGAGGGCAGTGCCGGTCTATGTCAAGTGTAAACTTACCTTGCCACACGAGGAAGTGCTTTGTGGCTGCATCCTACTTAGACGGTAGTGCAGCACGATGGTTGAGCAGTTTAGTGCAACTACAGGGGTACGGTCATGACTTCCGCGCTTGGGCAGCCCACAAAAAACTGGAGGACTTCCTCAAGATGGTGGAAGAAAGGTGGCATGATCCTCAGGAGGCTCAAAAGGCCACTGATGCGATCTTGACACTGCACACGAGGCAGTTTAAGTCAATAAGGGAGGCCACCGACGCTATAGAGCGTCTGATCTGTGTCCCTGGGGTGCGCTATGACCCCCAGGTTTTACTCACCTCCTACCTGAGATGCTTTCCAATGCGTCTCAGGAATCAGTTGGCAGGTGAGGCCAACATCAATGTTCACAACTTCCCCTCGTTTAGCAAGAAGGCCCTAGACCTTGAGGCGAAGATAGGGCATGGACATAATCCCACAACGGATGGTAAGAAGAAGACACTGCCTCCTAACTGGAAGGCGAAGGGCCGCATTATGTTTGTCGATAACGATGGTTCAACCATCGAATTAGACGACAACTTCCAGGAAGGAGTAGGTTCAGAGGCTGGCAGTGTCGAAGCTTCAGAGGGTGGAGTAGTCGCTGCCGTAGCTCAGAAAAGTAAGGTGACCGGTAGACGTCGTGGAGGTTCCCGATCTAGGAGTCAAGTTGACCCCAATGCTCCTCCATGGGAGAAAGCGGGTCTCACAGAGAACGTGTGGAGAGATCGGTATACACGGCAGACCTGTCTTCGTTGTGGTCAATATGGCCATAATCAATTCAAGTGCCGCAACAAGAAGGTGACCGATAAGATCCCGCCTACGATGGGGCAGGCATTGGGATCCTCCCATCCCGTTGGTAGCAACGTAGCTAGTACTTCTTGCAGTGCTCCGGGAAGCACGTCGGGCCAGTAGGAATAGTAGTTGTTCCTGCTAGGGTCAAGGTGGTGGATACACCCTCACCATTTCGACAGATGGCCCAAGCTACTGACTCCAGCGTCGTCCCGCAAACACGTTCAGACCCATCGAGCCTCTCTTCGATGAATGTCTTTGAGTCCTTAGAGGAGCTAGAGGAGTGGTCTAGATCAGACCCGCTAGCTTCTTGGACGGCCCTAGTCAAAGCCCCGAAGGGTGAGATGTTCGTCAGCGAGGTTGTCATTGGCGGCCGCAAGGCCGGGGCCTATTATGACACTCGCTCGACTAGGAACTTTATCAGTCGCGCGTGCGTTGGAAGGCTGCGCTTACAGGGGCGAGTGCAGCGCCTGAGTCGACCTGTGGAGTCGACCTGTGCCAACAAACAGTGCATGGTAGTCAACGACTACCTCCAATATGTTGAGTGTGGTTTCCCATACGCGGGAGGGGAATTGAGACATCACGTCTCGTTCCTAGTGAGTGACAAGCTCCCCATGGATATGTTGTTAGGTATGTACTACCTCTCTATGGCACAGCCCCAGTTTGACTGGGACCGAAAAGTGGTCAAACACACTTTGCCAGGTGGAGGGACCGCCAGATTGAGCAAGTTCAAAGCTAGTAGTCCGATTGAGTCCCACAGGTGCATGTGTGCGGCCGCGTTCTATAACTACTATAAGCAAAATCAGGAGGAGGGTATGTATCTTGTTTATGTCTCTGCTGCAGGCGAGCCGGTGAAAATGCCGCCGGAGATAGAGGGAGTAGTTGCTAAGTACCCTGATCTATTTGAAGAGCCGACAGGGGTTGTAGAGAGGGAGGTCGTCCACGCGATAGAGATTATCCCAGGGTCTAGCATCCCGAAGGGTAGGATCTATCGGATGTCTCCAGGCGAGCTCGATGAGCTTCGCCTACAACTCAAGGAACTCGTAGAGAAGGGTTGGATCCGGCCGAGTGTTTCTCCTTATGGGTCTCCAGTACTATTTGTACCTAAGAAGAAGGAGGGAACACTTAGGATGTGCATTGACTATAGGGGCCTCAATGTCATCACTGTAAAGAACAGAGAGCCCCTACCGCGCATCGACAATTTGCTAGAGAGAGTGCAAGGGTGTCGGTACTTCAGTAAGATAGATCTTAAGTCCGGGTACCATCAGATTGCAATTCGGTCCGAGGATCAACACAAAACCGCATTTCAGACCAGGTACGATCTGTACGAGTTTGTGGTGATGCCTTTCGGCCTTTGCAATGCTCCTGGCACCTTTCAGCACGTTATGAATCGGATATTCCATGACTACTTGGATAAGTTTGTCATCGTGTACCTCGATGACATACTTATTTTTAGTAAGAATGTCAAGGAGCACGTTGCGCACTTGGAAAAAGTCCTCAGTCTCCTACGACAGCACAAGTTCAAGATCAACGGTGAGAAGTGCGAGTTTGGCCGCACCCGTGTCTTGTACTTGGGTCATGAGAGTTCCGCAGAAGGGTTGAAGCCCGATGACACGAAGGTGGCCAACATTCGTGACTGGCCTCATTTGTGACTGGCCTCGTCCTTAGTTTGTGACTGAGATGAGCTCTTTCTTAGGGATGACCGGCTACTATCGCAATTTCGTGAAAACTATAGCATAGTTGCCGCCCCTTTGACTGATCTAACCCGCCTTGACACCCCATGGGAGTGAACTGAGAGATGTGAGGCTGCTTTCAGACATCTGAAGCATGCGTTGACGCATTACAAAGTCTTGAAACTTCCTGATCCTGATAAGCCATTTATAGTAACTACGGATGCTAGCCAATATGGCATAGGCGCCGTACTTGCACAACAGGAGGGGGAAAAGTTGAGGCCTGTTGAGTACATGTCCAAGAAAATGCCATCTCAGAAGTTGGCTAAGTCCACCTATGAGAAGGAACTCTATGCGGTTTACAAGGCTCTGACCCATTGGAGGCACTACCTCCTTGGGAGGTTCTTCATCCTCAGGACTGATCATCAAACCTTGAGATGGATGAGAACTCAGTCGGTACTCTCTGACACTCTCAAGCGTTGGATCGAAGTCATTGAGTAGTATGACTTCGAGCCCCAATACATCAAGGGCGAGTACAACAAGGTTGCTGACGCCTTGTCGCGTAGACCTGATTTCTCAGGTGCGCTGATTACTTAGTTCAATCTTGCGGACAATGTTACTCAGTCTTTGGTGGAAGCCTATCGCGAGGACCCGTTTATGGTCGAGATCATACGTAGACTCGAGGCGAAGGACAAAGAGACTTCTGCCGAGTTTGAGTTGGTCAACGGCCTGCTGTTCCTTGAGAAGGCAGGGAATAAACGTTTGTGTGTGCCTAATAGCGAGTCTTTGTGTAGTTTATTTTAGGCGAATGTCATGATGCCACAGGACATTTTGGGTTCAAGAAGACTGCGGCTAATTTGCTGCAGCGGTTCTGGTGGCCCACATTGATGAGAGATGCAAACTTGTACGTGGAGACTTGTCAAGTCTGTCAGAGGGACAAGCCACGTACTCAGGCTCCTCTTGGGCTCCTGAAGCCCCTTCCGATTTCGGAAAGGCCTGGTGAGAGCCTGTCCATGGACTTCATGGATACGCTGGTTACCAGCAAGAGTGGAATGCGTTACATCTACGTCATTGTGGATAGGTTTAGTAAGTTTGCTAGGTTAGTTGCAACGCCGGCAACAGCTAAGACGGAGTATGTGATTAAGATGTTTAAAGAGAATTGGGTTAGAGATTTTGCATTGCCAAAGTCTATCATTAGCTACCGGGACGTGCGATTTACCATCGAATTGTGGAAAGCTGCAGCTGCAGAGCAAGGCACGCAACTGCAGATGACATCAGCTAATCATCCTGAGGCGCTGAACAAATGAACCGCGTTGTGCAACACCTGCTGAGGCATTACATCAAGCCAAATCAGGTAGATTAGGATGAGAAACTTGCTCTCATTGCAAGTTTGTACAATAATGCGGTACACAGCGCAACCGGAGTGAGTCCTAACAGCTTGCTACCGACCTTCAGACCCCGACTGCCACTAGACTTTCTATTACCTGACAATCAACCGAATGCTGCACCAGGGACTTTAGAGTTTGCTTATCGATATGAGCAGTTGATGCAGCAGGCTGTTGAACAGATGCACAAGGCCCAGACCGCGATGATAGAGTCTGAGAACAAACACCGCCGCCCATCCACGTTTCAGATGGGAGAGAGAGTCTGGGTCAAGTCCTCAGAATTGGGACAGGAGCATGGGATCTCCCTCAAGCTCATGCCATAGTACTTTGGACCATGGGAGGTATTGGATGTCGTCGGGAATGAACCGGATGGCCCGTCTTATGTTATTCGCATCCCTGGTCACTTATGCACTTACCCTGTCTTTCACGCCTCCAAGCTTGCACCCTTCGAGGAAACAGATCAGTTTCCCACTCGACGCTCAATGCTGCCCCCAACGATGGATGTAGAAGTGGACATAGACGACATCGTGGATCACAGGGAGCTGCCCGTTCCAAAACCGACACGCAGGGGACACCCTAGGAAACCGAAGATGCAGTTCCGAGTTCGGTTCCGACATCATCTGGACCCAAAGGAGGACCGCTGGTTCACTAGGGAGGAACTCATGCAGACCGCTCCTCCGATCGTAACTCAATATGAGAAATCTCTGCAGAAGGGAAAGCGCCAGATCATCAAAGACTGAACTTCTCAGAGGACTAGCGAAGTTATGGAGGAGGGAATGCGAGGCTTATGCCCCTATGAGCCCCATTTTGGCCCTGCCAAGTATCACGTCGGCCGCC